TTATCTTCACAATCTGCAGCTGTTTCAAAAAAGCAAATAATATTAGGTTGTATGAAGAAAGAGAATAAGATAAGAGCACTATTTTCTGTGCTTTAGAAAACTAAGCACACTTTCTGCTGGATTGGGTACTAAATAGTCTGTAAAAAAATAAGATAAAGAACGTTTTTACATACTATGGTACTTACTAAGACCTCTCTATTTTTTTATTGACAAATATTGTATGCTTGTCTATCTAAATGGCTAGTGTTTTAGTCAGACTTAAATGATGTGTTAAAATTGCCAAATTTTTTTTTAGGAATTCAGGTCCTGCTGTATTTATTGCCCCTTAAATGTTTTCCTTGCAAGTATCATTAGTAATGATCTGATAGTCATATTTTTTATTTGCATAGCACCCTTCAGCCCGAAGGATCCCAGAGCGCTTCACAAATTATATACATTCAGCACAGCTGAAATGCAGCCACCTTGAGGGTGGAGGACAGCAGCCAATCAATCAGCATATAGCACACAGCACAACAGTGAGCAGGAAGGATAATTTTGCACAACAATGCTATTATGAACAGAGCATGAGATTTTCCATGTTCATACAGAGTGGACAGAGTTTCAATTTTCTGGCTCATGCAACTACATGAAACTCAATTTACCTTAGAAAGGTGATGGGCATGGGTGGATCCTTTTGTGGTCCCAGGAAGAATGGGTACCGCAGTCCTGAAGTTTAGAATTCTATTCTGTTCTGTATAGGTTCTTACACTGCCCTGGGGTTCTTGCACAACTTTCTTGGGGATGAAATCTTAAAAGGAAAATGGAAAATAAATTAAATTACAGTGGCAGGTAGAAGTAGACTGGATCCAAACACCTATGAACTTTGGCAAGTCTGGATCTGAACTTGAAGGCTTAACTTAAATGGGCCAAACCAAAACTCTGTGTAACAACCTCTCTCCCCATGACACAGTAGAAATAGAACCTAGCACCGTTAGCACCACAGTACCTCACACTTAGCCAGGTCATTGTAACCAGATCCCAATACGCCCACATTTGGTGAAGTTTGACTTGAATTTGAGTTATATGAGCTAAGTCCATGTCTCGGGCCATTTGAAGGTTGCTGGAACAATGATAGGGCAAGTAAAACAAAAGCAGATTTAGTTTTTGTTTTAATTATTACATAAGAATATTCAACTTTCCAAACTTCGTGTTTTTTTTTTAATTTTATTTAATTATTCTTAGAAAGGTGCAAGATATTCTAAGTAGGTGGGATATAGAAGCATTCTGACTCTATATATTTGAGTAGGCCATGATTCCACCTCCTGCTCAGAAAACTGAAGTTAGGCTGTAAATTATAGTGATATTTATAGATAATTGCCCTTAGTAATAATGAATTCCTATTAAGCGTATCTGACTGGGCTCTTTGTGCATCTGCTCCTAAAATCACTTTGTTCTCCTTGTTGAGTTTATTAAAAAATAGAAACTTGTTCATTTAGAGGACCGACTGGCTAAGCAGCAGTTCTGCAGAAAAGGACCTGGCGATTACAGTGGATGGGAAGCTGGATATGACTCAGCAGTGTGCCCTTGTTGCCAAGAAGGCTAATGGTATATTGGGCTGCATTAGTAGGAGCATTGCCAGCAGATCGAGGGAAGTGATTATTCCCCTCTGTTTAGCACTGGTGAGGCCACATCTGGAGTATTGCATTCAGTTTTGGGCCCCCCACTACATAAAGGATGTGGATAAATTGGAGAGAGTCCAGCAGAGGGCAACGAAAATGATCAGGGGGCTGGGGCACATGATTTATGAGGAGAGGCTGAGGGAACTGGGCTTATTTAGTCTACAGAAGAGAAGAGTGAGGGGGGATTTGATAGCAGCCTTCAACTACCTGAAGGGGGGTTCCAAAGAAGATGGAGCTCGGCTGTTCTCAGTGGCGGCAGATGACAGAACAAGAAGCAATGGTCTCAAGTTGCAGTGGGGGAGGTCTAGGTTGGATATTAAGAAACACTATTTCACTAGGAGGGTAGTGAAGCACTGGAATGGGTTACCAAGGGAGGTGGTGGAATCTCCATCCTTAGAGGTTTTTAAGGCCTGGCTTGACAAAGCCCTGGCTGGGATGATTTAGTTGGTGTTGGTCCTGCTTTGAGCAGGGGGTTGGACTAGATGATCTCCTGAGGTCTCGTGCAACCCCAATCTTCTGTGATTCTAGAGGGAATTTGAGACTTTTTTTTTTTCATTTTGAGGAAACTTGAAACCTCTCACTAAAATTGTTTTACTTATCTGCTCATTGATAGGGAGTTTGCAGGTTGGGGAGGAAAGTTCATGGAAGTTCTACTGTTGTATTTTGTGGCTAGTTCCAACTATTTTTTTGACTTGAATGTCACAGAACTGTGCAAGAGGAGGTTACTTCCAGTAGATCTGTAGCTCTGTAAGTATAAAAAATTGAGTATTAGCTCTTCTTTACACCAAAATGTATTTTATTTTATTGGAATGTAGGACTAGAAGGGACATGTGTCGTAGAATCATTGCTTTAAAATATTTCTTGCTCAGTGAGAAATTATTCTTCTGTAGTGTTTGTTTTCTCCTATTGAGCTTTGAGTGGTTGAACATATACTGCATATGTATTTATTAATATATTTAAAATACACAGTGGACATGGTTGATAAGGAAGAGGATTTATCCATGTGGAGTGGTAGACAGATATGCATATACAAAAGAGACTTTGGAATTCAGTGGGACTACTCCCTAATAAGAGGGCAGCAAATTAAGTCAGTGGGCAAGATTCTGATTTCTTGGCCAGTACTATTGAGCTGTGCAGTAGTTTCCCTATACAGCCTCATGATCATATCACCCTTTTCCATCCCACTCTCCATTTCTTCCTGTTGTTTCACACTCATTTACTCTATGATTCTTCAAATTAGATTGTAATCTCTTCAGGGCAGAGAGCATCTGTTACTGTGTATGCCAAACCCAGCACAACAGGGGTGCTGGGCACCGCCACAGCACAAATATGTATTTGAGCACCACCACAGCACAAATAATAATAATTTAACAAACAATAATTTATACTGGCGTAAATCTGGAGTAATTGCACTGACTTCACTGGTGTAACTGAGATCGAAATCTGAGCCATTCGACTAGTTGTATATGTAATTCAAGGTCCCATGGAGGAGTTCTGTTGACTTCAGAGTGCTTTGGATCAGGCCCTATGTGCAGTAGCTGTAGAATCAGAAGCTAGTGGAAACCTATTTCACACCCCAGCAGTGAGTGAGCCATCTGGTGTGGAGGGTGCAATGATGCAAACAAAGGGGCATAGAGCTAGTTGGTACACTCCATAAACATGGTGACAGGTTTCAGAGTGGTAGCTGTGATAGTCTGAATCAGCAAAAAGAACAGGAGTACTTGTGCCACCTTAGAGACTAACACATTTATTTGAGCATAAGCTTTTGTGGGCTAAAACCCACTTCATCGGAAAAGGTATTTTCCACTGCATGCATCCGATGGAGTGGGTTTTAGCCCACGAAATCTTATGCTCAAATAAATTTGTTAGTCTCTAAGGTGCCACAAGGACTCCTCGTTCTTTTTTCCATAAACATGGTGGCTCAGAAAGAAATGGAGCCAGGGCAGCTGAGCGGTGCATTGATTCAGGGCAACTGCTAGGGAGCCACCACTGATGAGAACCCTTTGGAATCCCTGCCAAAATGTAAAGTTGCTCCCAAGGGAGAGTGACACTACTGCTCCTGCCCCTCCCTCTAGACCAGTTCTTCTTTCAGCACATCCACAACCTCCAGCACAAAGTGGTAAAAGTTGCACTCACAGAGCTGAATAGGGCCTATAGTGTGTGTGTATATTTTTCTAAGTCAGTAGAAGTCTAGAGTTCTATTCACTCTATTATGATTGCAGTTTGCTTTAACCGGTATCATTTAAAATCCTGACTCCTTGAACTGAGGAAGATATGTATTGGTATGTGTGTGTCCTTTCAGTCAATAGGTATAGTAGGTAGTTATATTTAAAGGGTTTGAAGTTATTTTTATGAGCCATAGTGAAGTGTGTGTAAACCTTTATTTTTATCTTGAGAGCTGCTTAGCAATTCTTCCAGGAGATTTATGCTTTTCTAGTTGAAACACTTACAAATCGAGAGGAATACAATATTAGCAAAAGCAGAGACAGCTCATTTCTGTTTCCATCTGAGAATCCAGTTCATAATTTCCCTATGATCTTGGCTGCGACCAAAGGGAAGTTTTAACGTTGTTTAGTAAAACAAGAGAAGCATCGTTCCCTTTAACCAATAGAGTCAATCACTCATCCAGTACTCCCATAAAGTTTCTGTCTGATTGTATCCCTATCAGAGGGCTCTCATGTAGCACCCAAACAAACTGTACACCTAACCTTGTTTGGGGCAGTACTACCGCATGGAAAAGTTACTCAAAGATCACACACGTACAATACCCTCAGTGATTGCGTTGCTTAAAGATTTACTGACAACGATTGGTTTCTTTTTCATTTTACTTGAAAAGAGCGTAGCTTGTTTCTTCTGAGAAAAAAGTAACTGAAGCAAGTCACTTGCGTCCATCTCACTTAATGACATTTTACTTTAAAAAAAAAAATATCATCACTTTAGACAAGAAACGCTGTGATGAGTAACGCTTAGGAGGAGGGGGAAAAAACTTGCTTACAAGGAACTGCTTTTATTAGCGTGCAATCTTAATCCACATACATGCAGATGAGTCTGTCAGAGAGCATTCCTCCCACACCCCCTTTTTAGAGGAAGTTTGTTGATGTATTACCGAGATCTCATCTTCAAAGCCAAACAAAAAAAAAGGGGGGGGGGGACAGCCATTCACAGGAAGGACGTAAGTTGATTTGTTCTCCTCCTGGAGCCTGGAGCAGAAGTACCCAGACCGCATGATGAAGGAGCATTGTACCACCTACAGTAGTGCTGCCTGCAGCTGTGTCAGTGACTCTACCATGGAAAGTCTGCAGCCACTCAAGCCTAACTACATGTCTGTGTGTTTATTTGCAGAAGAATCTTATCAAAAATTAGCAATGGAAACTCTGGAAGAATTAGACTGGTGTTTAGATCAACTTGAAACCATTCAGACCTACCGATCAGTCAGTGAGATGGCATCTAACAAGGTAAGCGATGGGATAACTTCTTCCTAAAATGTAAAAGGCTGAAAATAAAAAGAATAAGTGCTGTAATGTAAGACAAAAAGTGTTGCTGTATGTGATTGTGTCCACCAGCAGACAAGCATGCACAGTGCAATATCTGACAAAGTTCATTTAAACACTGTTGGTACTTTTTCCTAGTACTTTATGTTAAGGGTGGGAACTTTAAATGCTTTGAACTATCTGTATCCTTATGCTATTGCAAGAATTAAACAGTGCAAGTGGTAAACGATAGCATAGGTTCTCAAGCAAAATATATTTACACTGTGAAATTAATCCTTGGATTTGGTGATATGTTCCAGTGGACCTTAGGTACATTTTTATACAGTTAGAAGTAGGATGGTAAATAAAAATGTTACTTACAAAGTAACTTATACATTGGAGAAAATTTGTCATAGAAAAGCAGAACCAGGAAAACATTTAGCATTCCGTGGATTCAGAATTATAATATGGTACAATGCAGTAAAACCACATCATTACATTGATATTTGTCTATCAGAAAATTTACAAGGTGTCAATTACAGCTGTTCTCCCTGGAAATAATACTACCACAGGCACCCACTGAAAAGTGTGTAACTGTAACAAATGATCAGGCTGGGGAAATTAACTTGGCTTTTCAATAATAATGGCAAACTCTAAACATTATGGGATAATGTTTTACTGCAACTGTCCCTTTCTCTAAGCATTTGGTTTGTGTTTTTAATATTATGGTACGAGTTGACAGCATTTTATATTCAGTACATGATTAAGGTGCAGTGCCACAACACTGGGACATACGTAAAAGTGTTTTCATTAAAGGGCTGCTTTTTGGGGGGAGGGAAGAGATGCAGGAGAATTTGAGTTTTCATACAAGGAGTAAAAATTTGCTAAAATTAATTTGAAAAAAAAAATATTCCAAACTAAACTTTATGCTGAATGTAGGAAAAAATGGGGGGAAGGTTGAGAAGAAAAATACAGGAAAGATATAAAGGGAAAAAATACAGCAGAAGCCCTGACTACCCCTCAAAATAATCCTTTAAAACCACCACTCTCTCCAACCCTCAGCTTCTGCTTCCAGCCTCCAACCTTCCCAGCCAGAGAGAGAACTGCTCTCTGTGAGCAGATGAGATTCTATTAAGAACCCATCAAAGTCAGTCCTTAATTGGCCAGAGGGGTTATTGTTGATTGACATAAGGCACTCCCTGGGGCTATAGGCACCACCTCTGCAATGTTCCTAGCTATTGCCCAAATGAGCACTTGACTGGCATCTGAGCAGATCTCCTGCTTTTGCACCCAGCAGCACGGTCTAAGTGCACAAGATCTCAAAGTCACAAGTATTGCTGCTCCAAATTCAATATTTATGCCCATGCTTTTATGCAATATTTACACCCATCAACCTGATGAAGCAAATCCATATGGTTTCTGAAATGTGTGTGTGCTCTATCTCTTACAAAGATGTTAGACATTGTGTATTCCTTCATTCCTTTGCATTAGCCCTCATGATTAGAACCTGTTTTACCTTTGTGCCACACAAATCCAGGGCTATTCTTCTTTTCCTAACTGGAAATAAATTACACCGGAAATGCTGAATCATAAACTGAGATTCTATGGAATATGTTAAAGAAATTAATCCCAGGTCATTTCAAATTTCCTCCTCCTCCACTAGTTCTTACTACAGCATGCCGGGGCATAGAAAGTAATACAAGTATAATAGGGCTAGCTTTCAAGAAAAGAATATAATTATCAGCTTGCGTGAAAAACAGATCTAGCCATTAGTAAGGCTTTAGACTGAGAAGAAAATAGGGCCTCACACATGGGGCAGAACTATCCCGTATTTTGAGATTTTCTCCCACATTGGGACTCTTAGAGGTGAAAAGCTCTGATTAAGTAATTCAGCCACTGTGTAATTGTTAAAAATTATGATTTTACTATGTGCAGTGTTAGTGTTCATTGGTTAGATTCAACTTTCTTTAAACTTTGCTCATTCGTATACTTGAACTAAAATGTGTTTGTACGTGTTCTGGTCAGATTCCAAGAGTCATTTCCAGCTATGAAAGACTAACAAGAAATGGTTTGCAGCTTATTCTTTTTTCCTTGCCATGGTAACAAACATCGAAACAAGTTGGTGATAAATGTCTCTTGGTTTTGTGCCATCATGGCAAACAGTTTTTCATGGCACACAGTAAAATTATTTCAAGTGAGCTGCGCAGTCTGACAACTGTTCAATTGGAAGTATTGAGGCTTTTGAAAGACTGTTTAGAAACAATCAGAAAATTTGACAACAAATTAATGGAACATTTTTCATCTCGTAAAGTATCTGAGTAGACTATCTTGCTTGAATCAAAAGCTTTTAAGTAGGGCATTGGTAAACAACAAAACAGTCCGATGTTTTGAAAACAGGATGCTTAGGCTCCACATTATTAAAGAAGAACGGAAAGAGAAACAGTATAGAAAGGAAGAAAGCAAATAGACTCAGCACGATCCCAAGTGCAGAACAGTATAAACCGTGACCTATCTTCCTGACCTCTGTTATTGCTGAGTTCCTGGCCCTGTGCCACTAAAGCCAAACTACGTCATTTGAGAATGATAGTAGGCATGGCACAGCTGTTGCAAGTGTGACTCGAATTTCCTGTCTCCTTCCTGACAGACGTAGTTTTAAAAGTACAGAGTTGCAACAACAGCAGACAGAGAGGGAGGATCTCTGAATTCGTGTTTGCAGTGTGATTCTCAGACCTCTTGTACAAAAAGCATTTTCTGGGAGGAAAAGCCATGTGTGACACCATCCTGGTCATAAAGAGTTGGCACATGGGTCTGCCAACAATGTAAGTTAATTACTCAAGGAAAGTGAAAAACTAAGGGCCTGATCCTGCTAGGTGCTAACCAGCCTCAGCTTGTATTGAGGCAAGTGGGAGTAGAGGCTGCAAAGCACAGGCTTGAGCCCAGCATAGAACCATTACAGAAAGGCAAAGCTCTGTCTCCTGAGTACTCCCTCCCTAGGTAAAGTCTTTACCACATGTCTTTACCAGTGCACTTAATCCTGTCCTCCAAATACCCCAGACCTCTTGCTATTCCAGACCAGAGTTTCCGGGAAGCAGACTGCCTATCACGCCAAGCATGGTGGTGGTTTTGGGAAATGGGAAATCTGATTTTTTTTTTTAAGAAATGATTTGCATCCCAAAATTAGAAAGAGAGCAACGCTGAAGAAAACGACCATACATCCCTAAGTGAGTTTCTGTTCCACATTGCCTTAGTCATTGCCCCTTGGCACTGGCCTCATTCCCTGTGGATTCCCTAAACTAAGCATGTGGGAATGTACGGAATACTGCAAAGATGGAGTTTATTATTTATGTAAAATACTAACAAGACAGTTCTATAGTTTCAGCTTTGAGTGAAATAAAGCTAACTTACCCTTAGTCGTCTGTAGATATTAAATCTTAATATGTATTGTACATTTTTACATTATTGTAAGATATGACATATCATTCTGCATTTAGTGGCCTATCCAGTTCACTGCCTAGGCAGATACTGAGTCATCTCTGGAGGTTTGTGAGTCTCCTGATATAGCAGCCCCCTAATGCTGCATTTGGCATTATGCAGCTGTCTACAGACTCATCTGCCATAGAGACAGAATCACAGGCCCCCTAGAGCATTTGGGCTCTACGGAGCAAGGTTGGTAGACACAGGCTCGGTGCATCCCCAAATCATAAAGCGTGGGGTAAATAATTCCCCAACTGACCTACTAGTTCTCCAACTCCCAGCTTGATGGTTTTCTAAGGTCTTAAGGTCATAGAAGCTAGGACTGGAAAAGACCTTTTACATCACAGAGTCCATCCACTTATAAGTGCAGGATCCCCTGAATAGCACAGTAGTTTTTGAAGCCAGTATTCAGAGCCTCTGCACCCAGACTGTGCAACTTTGCAGTTGATAGATGATAAAGGCTGGCTGGAAAGTAAAATCTGTTTCACCAAAAAAGGTTTTGACAACTGATTCTGTTCCTTCCAGATTTCCCCCCAGAAAAGTGAGGGTGCATGAGACTACCCCAGAATAGCTAAGTTACGTCCAGGGATCAGAGGAGAGAGACCTGAACCTCAGTCTCCCACGCCCTGGGCAAGAGTCCTAACCACCAGACTTTAGAGTCAGTCATTGTCTCAATCTATCCTATTAGAGCTCCGCTTTGTCTAAATAAATAGTTGCTGGGCCAGAGAAAGACTTACTGACTCTATAGCACCTGGATGTGGGAGACCCATGTTCAAGTTCCTGCTCTGAATCATGCAGAGCCCCTTCTCTATTGGTTTTGGGTAGGTTCTTCAGGCCCAGGATGGAATTTCTGGTCAAAATCTGTGACAGCCCCAGCGCAGAATAGCCATTAGACTGGTGGTTAGGACTTCACATGTGGGAGACCCGGTTTCCAGTCCCTAGTCTGAATCAGGGAGAGCAGGGATTTGAGCCTGTCTACCACACCCAGGTGATTGCATTGCCCTAACCACTTGCATATTGGCTATCCTCACCCTGCTCTAGGCCAGAAATTCCACCCAGCACCGGAGAAATCTTCCCAATGAAAGTGTTGCTGGAACCAATATGTTTCCATGAAAAGTTTCCATTTTGACAACTGGGCATTTGCCAACAAATAACATTTCATCCAAAAGTCCCCAGCGAGCCCTATGAATAATGTAATTCATTATTTGCAGAAACAGTTTGAATTTTGTATATACGTACTTTGGTAACATCACAGGGTCTTCCTTGTTGACCCACCGGTTTTGAAACTTTGTTATGCCTGTATTGTGATGGAAGTTAAGGGAGCCTTAACATTGACCATACGGCTCAGTGCTGCTAGACATACTGTAATATAACTCCTTGCAATTTGTCTCACCTGGATTTAGAAATGTCAGCTGTTAAAGAAGTCTCCAGGAGAAGTGGGCGTAAAGAGCAGAATTAAATCCTGCAGGCAGATAACATTTTTGACCATCACTATATACATAGGTATTTGC